TTGCGACACAGAAAAAGGAACTGAACCGCTCAGCACCGTCATTTCACGCACCAGGCTCCGATGGCTTGGCCACGTGTTGCGCATGCCAGCCCACCGACTTCCACGACGTGCGTTGCTTGTTCACCGGGGATGCGGATGGAAGAAGAGGAGGGGTGACCAAGCGATGACTTGGTCCAGAGGAATGAAGATCCTCACTTCGGAGTTGGCCTCGGTTGGAGCGTCACGGCCCCCTGGTTGAGGTTCAAAAGACGATGAACACGTTTGGCTGGATACACTTGCTGACATGGCAAGGAGCCGACCTCAGTGGCGTTCCTGCTGTGAGTTTCTTCGTCCCTCCCCATCCCTTTTAGCCTCCTCCTCCATCTACGATCTCATTTCGTAGCCTAAAACATAATAATTTTTATTTTTGGCTAGTAGCCGGCTGGTAGCTTACCGGAACAATGCCTATCCGTTGCTGGTAGCTCAGCTGGCATGCAACTGTTGTGTTTACTTTCCTTTTGCTTTATGTATTGCAGCACAGTAGCTGAGGTGTTTCCCAGCTCTAGCTGACGTGTATAGTGATGATGATGCAGTATTGTTGAGTAGCCTGGCACTTGGCCAACGTCGCAGGATGTTGCAGATCTTCGACGTTCGGTCTGTAGTGCGTACGTCTGGGTGATCACCCGAAACGCAGGAAAATTTTGGCGCGAACCAGTCCAGACAAGTTGACCAGTACGATTGGCAGTCTGTTACGCTTCCGCGCCATCTGTAGCTAATTGCTATAAGGTCAAGCTAGGACAATTCTTGCGTTTAAGAAGGCGGACGCCAGGTAGCGGCCTTTTCGAATGAGGAAAACTTGTGCTCGAAAAAGACAAACGATGATCAGAACAAAAAGTCAGCAACTCATGTCCATTGTCTGATCGACTGCTACAGAAACCAAAACTACCCCAAGATGGTGCTCGCTTGGTGGCAGGCTGCCCACTCTTGCGTTAAAATCTCCTGCAAGAATGACAATGTCAGACTTTTTAGTCGAACGCAGAAGCTCATGTAGCTGTTGGTAAAATCAATCATTGACTGCAGTCTGTAGGAGTGTAGGCGGAGATGACAAGGCAGGCGTAACATCTGGACACGTACTTAACTTACACGAACTTCATAGTCTGACTACACATAGCCGGCTGTTGACTGGGATCCAGTCAAGCAAAGCGGCCTTAGCCCTGTCACTCAGTGCAAACCCAACACCAGCTTGGCCAAAAGTGGCGGCCTCTGGGTATTCGGAAAGGCGCAAGTGGTATTTGACGTCAGGGTTTGCCGGATATGTCATTCTGATGATGGTACTGGCGTCTTGCAATCTAGTTTCGGAAAGGCAACAGATGTTCACCGAGTGTCTCAAGCGTGCGGGCCAGACATGCTTGTCGTCCGATCTGCATCAGAGTGGAACTGGGCATTAGGCAAGTTCAGCTTAGCACAGACATTCGGAGCAACTTCCGGCATACGGAAAGTTTTGCGGTGACGTGATCTTTTTAGTATAATGCATGGTTGACCACTTTCTCTGACAGATTGCTAGTATGAGGTAAGAGGCAGAGATTCATTTTTAGTGTCCGAGAGGAGGAATCGTTAGATTGCAAGTGCAGTAAAACCGGCCCGTAGCACTAAGAATCACAAGCCTGGCTTATAATCTGAGGGTGCGGGTTCGAGCGTGCGTAGGGACCGGGTGGCCCTCGCACTGTTCTTAGCCTACGTGCGACTGGTGGTGGTTGCGCGGCAGCGAAGCGTCGATACTGCGTACAGCTGATGCCTTTTTACAGTAAAACCTCCGTAAGTTGACTACACAAGAAACTAGACCAAAACGGTCGACATACAGAAGTGTGGATCCATAAGGTTCAAGTAATGAAAAAACCGGTCGACTTGGTGGTCAGGATATAGAGGTGGTAGTTAAGCTGAGGATACAGTGAAACTGACAGATCGAGCTTCGAAGCAGAAGCAATAGAGTAGGAGGTCACGAACGAAAGTAGAGGCGGATAAAATAGAGAGTGGTGCATTGTATACACCGCCGCTGAAGCCCAGTTGTGCAACGGAGTGTCATATACTCGGACTCAAGCATCGAGAAGCAGAATAAAGTGATCAGCGATGAAACGATCATCATTGGCTCAGGGTAGACCATTTGTGGACAAACCCACAAAAATGAACGAAGAATGTTCACTGGAATGAATAGAAAACGAATCCCAATTGCCCTAAACCTGTCTGTAAGTTGAACGAGCAGAAATCCAATGGCCAAGGGACCAGAAGCAGTACTTAGTGTAAAAAATGCGTCCGAAGGTCTAGCAGCTGGTGACACTAAATTAAAGTTTGCATTCGGGAAGATAATGCACAATCAAGGAGGTCAGCTAGGCAATGAGCGCAACGCACTATTACTGCGTAATTTGATTCGGTAAAATATGTACAGAACAGCTATGAAACAAAGTAACCGCCGGTATGACAACAAGAGGTAACTATCTGTTACGGAGGGTCAGCGTTCAGGCTGATAGCAGCGGCACAACAGTGGATCGATTTACAAGTAGTGATCGAACGCGAGTAAAGATCAAAATGCGAATGTAGGCGGAATCAAAGGCAAGTTGGACCATGAACTTGAACCGTTTGATTTGTGTTAATTAACACTAATTAGCATCTCCAATTTTGTTGCGTTAGTGTTTTCCTACAATCTACTTATTGCGCCATGCTCTCATAGAATAGAATCAGAATCCCTCTGTCCGGCGGGTCTTGGCGTTCTCAGTTCGTCGCGGGTTGAACTGGTTGGGGGCCGCACAGCAGATGGAGTCAGGTTATCCGTACTGTCAGCGGAAACCACAACATATTTCTGGGGGTATCACATATTTCTGGCGACGAGAGATAAACTGATTCAAAATGGCTATATCAACAGAAGAGCTGAAAGCTATTTTGCTTCGACAGCATCAATAATTCAAGGCCTCACAGCTGTGTATGGTCGAGACTATTACTGGAACACTGTCACTCCAGTATGCAGCCATCTATGCGGATCACATGCAGACGCTCCATCACGTCCAGCAGTCAAGGTTTGAGGAATAACGGCGGCAATTGACAGAGATACTGACACAAAAGTGAAACATTCAAGCAGATTGTGTATTGGAGCCAGAACTCACATCAGAGCACATTGCAGGTGAATGTTACAAGCAGCTCAACTCGGGATTAGACACTAAAAAGGTTGAAAATGCAAATGCCAGATGTGAAATCCGGATTCGCCACACAGCTAGTGGTGGCCACAATGTGAATCAAAACGTGCAGAAGCAAAAGCCCGCACTCCGATTACTGCCGCACTCCGCAGGGATCAAAGCGCACCTAGTGGCCCTTTGTCGCTAGACAGAGAAATTGCCTGGGAACAGAAATGCAAGGGTCTGCAACTGTGCAACTATCCAGATACACAAACCAACAGCCCTTAAAACAGTGGCCATTGTGCACCTGCGAGAAAGGTATACAGCAGTTTTCTGGAAGGCTTCGCAACATCAATGGGTGACTAGGAGCTTCATGGCTTAAACAGTACAGTTCTCCACCCGGTGAACCAATCAATTGGGGACACAGGAGGGACCTAACGTGCTTTGACCAGCGGCTAAAAAAGGAGAGAACGTGAAGCCACGATGAAACACTGATCGAGAGTGGAAGCACGTCATCAGAATGCACGTGGACGCATGACGGAAGTCGCACGTCATTTTGCGTGAAGGAGGTGTAACAGACAAATTAACTTATTCAACATATCTGAAGATTTCTCTTACTGATTGACCCCAAAACGACCAATCACTACCCCTTGATTGCTTATTGGACTTTGCATGATAAAACCTGTTACTTTGTTTCTCGTTCACATTTGGACCTTGAGTAACCACAAGAGTTTACCCGTTTTGCATCGCTCAATGGTTAAGCTTGCTACTCCCGCCTTCTGTCTTACTCCTTGTGCGTGTTATACGGCCCAGTTACACACTCAGCTTCAGTAGTCTGTACTGGTCACGTCCTACTTCTTTTGTTTGTCTGACCGAACTCTTAACCGTCTCATTCGACGTATTCACCTTACACCTTTTTCCTCCTTTGGTCCATCTCGCCTTTTTGCTGATCGATTGACGATTGATCCCTTCGCTTTAAACCACTTTGACATTAGAACCGCTTCGCTTCATTGCGCTTATCTGTTGACCATTTGTTGTTGGCGGCGCGTTGCATTTTAGAGCCGAATTAGTGCACACATCTGGTCTGGAAATTGTTTGACGTTTGTTATTAAGTTGTTGTCTAACCATTTGTAAATAGCACCTTAGCTCTTCCGGCTTTGACTTTTGGATTGACGCGGCTGCGCTATGAGTTGCTCAGGTTCCAAGACCGATTTGTCGGTGTTACAGAGAGTCAGCGTTCAGGCTGAGCAGCGGCACAACAGTGGACCGGTCTACAAGTAGAGATCGAACGCGAGTAAAGATCAAAATGCGGATCTATATGGAATCAACGGCAAGTCGGACCATGAACCGTTTGATTTGTGTCAATTAATATTAATTATATCCAATTTGGTTGTGTTAGTGGTTTCCTACAATCTACGTATTGCGCCATGCTCTCATACAATAGAATCAGAATCAGAATCTCTGTCTGGCGGGTCTTGGCGTTATCATTATGTCGCGGGTTGAACTGGTCGGCGGCAGCACAGCGGATTCAGGTAGGTTATCCGTAGTATCAGCGGGAACTCACAACAGATTTCTGGCGACGGTCAGCTGCACAGTAGCAGCAGGTTAGCAGTACATTCAGCTGCACCACAACACTTTCACCATTTGGTGGAAGCATGTCCAGCATCCGATAATGCCATAACCTTGACTTACGCGGCACAGAGCAATGTAGGACTATGTGACTGAGTTGAAAAAAGTGGAGGAGTCGTAAGTAAACACCATGTGCTACAGAGACTACAAAGGTTTGGAACGCGTTGACCATGGCGAATTGATTTTCGGCGTAAAAAATAAAGCAGAGAGCAATAAGGGCATACATACCCCTCATGCAAAATCCGGCAATGAAGTCGTCATCAACAAGACGGCGTAGTTCAAAGTCCGGAACGACATCACACGTATGGTTCCGTGTGTACTGTTGGATGGCGGCCTCAATACCGTCACAGTTGGAAAGACAAAAAATCTATGTTGATCAGGATAAAATAGGGGAACACGAAGTCACCTTGGAGATAACTGACGTCATGTACTTCGGTGCAGTGATTCATCGGAGGGAGACAAATAGGCAACCATAGGTGGGATCTCGAAGTAGCCAGCAGTCAATGACAAAATAAATCTACAAAAGCGCGGAAGAGTAAATGTTAGGTAGTTTGGTTGCAGTAGGAGATTAAAAGTTAGCGAACGAGCGACGGATGAATTCATCGAAATCACTCGACCACGGAGCACTTAAGCATAAAACAAATGAAGATGTCATTCAAATGTAACCTGAGTATAAATGGTCCAAAGCACAGAATCACTCAGTAAAAAGGCATAGTTGCAGTGCACACATAAAAGATATCCATGAAATAGTAGATGCATCTCAAAGTCGAGGAGAGAAATACCTTAGTCATCATGCGTCTGCCTTGTAATCCAAGGATGCTGGCACAAATTTAGGCAGGTAAGACGCGAGCTCGTAGTATTCCTGGCACACACGTGCCTGATGGTTGTCGCGTGGCAGCGAAGCGTCGATATGATGTAATGACGTACAGATGCCATTTTCTTACAATAAGCTGACCAGGGTCTATGGAAATAGTAAACACTAGTCGAAGACGGGGTGCATAATCAAGAGCGGATATTGGAAAGTAAGTGAAATCAGACACAGCGGACTTTATTCGACGGGCTGCAGAAAGACGCGGACGAATGGAGACAGGGGCAAAGGTAACCACTGTAACTCACGAAGCAGACGAATGTTACGGGACATACAGGTGAGGAGCAGGAAAACAGTACAGTAGATCAGCAATGAAATTGTACATGAAAATAAGTTATCTTTTGGGGCGTTACAGTGCATCCTCCCTAGAAAGCTGAACAAAAGAAACCTACGATATAAAAAAGGATGGGTAAATCGAGGTTCACAAGGCTACCTCACCGAACCACCACCTCGAGGTGCCAGCTGGCTAGTTCGGATCAATCGCGTTCCCACGAATGGTTCGGCGGCAGTGATGCAGGTGGTGGGTTTGCGCCTGGCAAACGTTCTCTCTATGAAAAGCCACAAATATCCGATTCACAGCATGCGACGTGGCGGATGCAACGCGCCACTAAATATACTCACTACCCCGCCTCTCCAAAGCATCCTACCCTCTCCACGGAATTAAGTCGACCATTTCAAAGAGTTCCTGTAATCCGTTCGCGTACTGTCGATCCGATCAAACATACTCACCCATACAGCGTAACAACAACAAATTCATTGAACATAGCCACATACACATGATTCGCGGCATTCGGTTCCGGATTTCCTTGTCAATGCGGACTCTGTAGGGCAGTCACTGGATGCCTGCGCCTACACATAGACCACGGGCGTTTTGTGCTGCACCACCCGAAGCTTCATACACACATTTCACATCCAGTGTAAACCCGGAGGAACAAGACCGATAGGCATGTGGGTAGGAGCCACGTTGCGTCAGCTGAGTCGGTCCGCACTCCCTCAATATACACAACGGCAACATTCCAGTCAAAGTGGGGAATCATGCGTACCAGACGTGCATAAGGCGGTGGCTGGGCCGCAGATAGTTCCAAAGTGGGTGGATGGAACTAATTCTTGAGCCAAGCACGGTTATGACTTCATGGGGAGTATTGGGTCCCTGTTTGGTAATCTATCAAACAAAGACGCATGAACTGAACATTCAGTCAACGCCTCCCAATGGGAGCGATTCCCTAAATTCGCCCAGCTGCCTTGCGGGTAAGTTATTTAGCCAAAGGCTCGGGGTGGAGTCCTCTAAGTCAACTCCCTACTTCGGCTTGGGCAACCGGGTAGTATCACGCCCTCTCGCAAAACCATGGATTGTATTACAACTTGCTCATCAGCTGCTGTTTCTGCTAGTCCCTTTCACGAGACTTCATCACACGCCAATTGTTTGTGTGTTAACAACCCTCACTTTCCGTTATCCGATTCATGTGCTCAATAATCTGGCTGCGATTTCGGTTGCGCCGCAGACCAAGAGGTTCAACCTATGGCTCTCCTTCGTCCCCGATCCTCGTTCCGCCTGGCGTGCTTCAACGTTCGGACACTCATGCAGATTGGACAGCAAGCCGGTCTAGCGCGCACCCTAGATTCCCTAAACACTGATGTCTGCTGCCTTTCAGAAACCCGATTGCAAGATCCCAGCACTGTGCTTACACTGACATCCCCCACTGACCACGAAGCCATATATCACCTGCGTCTTTCTGGAGATCCAGAAGCAGCCTCAGCGGGTCTGGCTGGTGTAGGTATAGCACTAGGTGACAAGGCCGAGGCGGCACTACTGGACTGGTTCCCTATTAACAGCCGACTATGTGCAGTTCAGCTTCGGGGTTCGTGTAGAATCAACAGGCACCGCGGAGAGACACAACCTGTTTGTGATCTCCATGTACGCTCCAACTGACTGCAGCGGCGACTCGGTCAAGGACGAATTCTACCGGGATCTACAACAGCTCTTGACTAATGCTAAAAAGTCGGATGTCGTTATCCTTGCTAGAGATTTTAATGCACGGGTTGGCCGCCTGTTACCATACGAACGTCACCTTGGTGGTCATCACTCGCTCGATGAGAACCGCTCTGATAACGGAGAGAGACTTCTCACATTGTGCGAAGACAACCGTCTGTATCTTTCGAGCATTAACTTCAGGCGTACGAAGAAGCGTTCCGCAACGTGGCGTCCCCCTTCTTCAACACAACCGTGGACTCAAATTGACCACATTGCAATTAGCTTCAGATGGCGCGGCAGCGTACTGAACTGCAGGTCTTTTTGGTCCGCCTACGTTGACTCAGACCATGCTCTGGTCTGTGCGAAAATCTGTATGTGTTTTGGAGGATCCCGAAACACGAAGCACCGCAAGATTGATGTAAACAGATTAACTGATTCCTCTGTCCAGAGGAGCTATCAGTCTTCATTGGCATATGCACTCAGTTGCAATCCACCGCAAAAAGTGGAACAACACTGGACTTGTATACGGAAGGTAATGACCATTTCCGGACAATCATGCTGCGACCTAACTAGACGCCCCTTGAAGGCTTGGATCTCTGCTCGTCCTCTGGAGCTGTTCGAACGCCGCAAAGATATCCCCGCGGAACCGTCGCAACGAGACTGGACCTTAACGTGGTGCGACGGTTTGCGTACCTCATTGACCCATTGAGCTATACTGGGTGATGCCTTCGAGCATCTTGAGAGCTACTCCTACCAGGTTGGTCAATGGTGAGAGGTCAGACAAACTCAGTCTCCTGGTCCTCCAGGTTGGAGGTTTGAAATGGGATGGCGTCCATATCTGTAAAACTAAATCACTGCCACCCCGCTGCCTTGCGGACAGGCTTTTGAGCCAAAGGCTTTGGATGAGGACCCTAATCGTTCTCCTGTCTAGGTCTGGGCGCCCTGGCAGTATCCCAGCCCACATACAACCATGACATTTTCTTCAAACATAAACTTCATCCTGCATCGGCCGTCGCGCAGATTATAAAGGGTCGCCTTATCTGCTGCATACAGCAGGGCGGATAAGCGAAAGCATGCTACTGCTGGCGCCTCCCTTCTTTCTTTTCCACCTTTTTCTCTTACTCCCATCCCGGCCCCCATTATTAACCTTCCTTCTATAATTCCCAGCTTAATTGACAGCAACCGAAGTGCTACTGGAGTAGAACCATCTGCAGCCACCATCCCACAGCACCTATCGGACGCCTATCGGCAAAGGTTCCTTATAAGGCCACGCTGTCCCGTTTCCATGGCGACATTCAACGTCCGCACTCTAAGACAAACAGGTCAGCAGGCTGCACTCGCACGCACCTTGGACACACTGGGTGTTGATGTGTGTTGTGTGTCCGAAACTAGGATTAATGACCCTAACGGGGTTATTGAATTGACTGCACCCGGCATATCCTCTCGTTATTGGTTGCACGCATCCGGAGACGCCGATGCGGCACTCACGGGTCAAGCTGGTGTAGGTATCATTCTCAGCTCCAAGACTGAGTCATCGCTGGTTGATTGGATTCCGGTGAACAGCCGTTTATGTGCAGCCCGTTTGACGACATCAGCTAAGGTGAATTCGCGAAGTAAAACACGCTGTTTGTTTGTGATTTCCGTTTATGCTCCCACCGACTGCAGTTCTAATGCAGTCAAGGACACTTTCTATCACGAACTGAACACGCTGCTACGCAGAGCTACTAGTTCAGATATTATAGTACTTGCAGGGGATATGAACGCACAAGTAGGGCGTCTGAGCTCTTCAGAAGCTCAGCTGGGTGGTAAGTATGGACTTAACTCCGAACGGACTGACAACGGCGAGCGTCTGCTGCAACTGTGTGCTGAGCACCAGTTGTTTCTTACTAGCACTGCTTTTAGACACAGTGGGCGCCGAAATGCCACTTGGCGTCCACCTGTAGCTGGTCAGCGATGGACCCAAATTGACCACATAGCCATAAGTTACAGGTGGCGCGGTTCCATTCTGGATTGCCGCTCGTACTGGAATACCTGTGTCGACTCTGACCATGCCTTGGTGCGCTGTCGTTTCTCCATGAACTTTACCGGGAGGCGCACCAAGCGTCCCCTACGATTGGCAACGGAGAAATTATCCCAGCCCTCTGTCAGGCAAGCCTATCAAGAAGCACTGCATAGCGAACTCTCGCTGTCTTGTCCTAATGATACTGAACTTCAGTGGAATAGGATCTCGGCCACTATGCACGACGCAGTAGCATCAGTTTGTGGCACTAACAGTCGTCATCGCACCAGTCACTGGATATCCGAGAGGTCCGTGAACCTTTTGCATGCTAGAAGGCACCTCCCGGCTGGTTCTGAACACAATGTGACCAGACGGGCTATTAGGCGTGAACTAAAGCGGAGCCTACGTGCTGACAAGGAAGCCTGGTGGACCAGTCGGGCTCAAGAAATGGAGGAGGCAGGAGCAGTAGGCAATTACCGGAAGCTCTTCCAGCTAATACGCACCACTGGTCCGAGAAAACCAGGCGTCAGTGAGACAATCAGGGACAGCGCGGGTGCGCTGATACACAATAAGGAGCGCCGTATGGCTCGTTGGGCTGAGTACTTTGAACATCAGTTCAGCTGGCCCCCTGCTCCTGGACCTCTTCCTATTCAGGTGATACAGGACGAGCCATGGACGG